CCTCTGTTGGCTTCAATTTTTCGGTGCAGCCTACAGGCTGTGTGGGCCTGTGGCCCGGTTTTTCTACAAGCTTTGAGTTGCCGATTGACAAAATCCTGCATCAGTTGGAGGTGGTTTTTCTCAGTATTCCTAGGGTTTCCATCCATCCCTGTGCGTTTTGTGGATTGTCTAGCCATCCAGAGTGCAGGATTCGCAGCTTGCAGTCTGAAAATGAGATGCTGACCGGTGATATCAACATCCTGAAGCGCGGCGGCCTGGTATTTTCGGCGACATCACGCCCTGAAAGGTTGACGAATTGGGAATGGCTAATCCTCACCAAACCCCATTTAGTTTTTGGCGACCGGACTACCCTTCTTTGTGTGTGCGCGTGTGTTTGTGTGTGTTTCCCGGGCAATTTTTGCGTACTTTTTCAAGACCTGACTTCCATCAGCTGAATGGGTGCCGAGATCAAGCCTTTTCGACTTCTTGCCCCGTTGATGTTGGGTCTCGGCTGGGTGTTTCCCCTGGTGAAGGATTCCAAGAGAGGGACACCGCTACTCTATTGAGCAGGGTTCATCAATCCTGGGCCGAGAGGTTTTGATCGCGGCTCGAAGGGCTTAAGCCCATGGTTTTGGCAGACCATCTCGTGTACCCCTGACGGGTCGTGCCCCAAGTTGCTGGGGAACCTGATTTTTGTTTAGGCTAGGGCCTCTCTGGGTCCGAAGCCGTTGGGGCAAGGGTCAAACTCCGGGGGCCATTCCAGCACATCCGCATCAGGAAAATGAAGCAAGAGAAGGAGCAAGCAGAAGCCAGCCTCCTGGAAGCCGAAAGATCTCTGCCGCTTGGCAGCAAACAAATGGAGGCCTCTTCTTGAGGGCGTGTCCCGCCCTTATTTTTTCATGATCTTAAAATGAAACCAAAGGGAAGCCACGATTTTTGTTTGGGTCTCACATCCGACACGAGCTCAAGTGGCTGTCGCAGTCGTTGGCTTTTCTTCGTTTTGGCTTCAGATATTCGGCAGGCGTGCAGAGCTCAAGGTGATACAGAGGCAGCTGGAAGAGAGGGAGCACCAGGTGCGCAACTCATGGCTTGCGCGCGCGCGCTCGCGCGTTCCAGCGAAGTTTACAAGGTCTTTTTTTCGGTTGCTGAAAGTCCCTTGCGTGTCAATGGGGATTGACTCCTAGATAGGCCCTGGTTCATGGGTGAATACGCCACTACCTGTGACTTAGTTGTGTGAAAGTAGGGGCGCACAATGAATCAAGCTTTGATGTTTGCAAGTCTGGACGCTGCCTTTCAATACACATATGGGGCAAACTTTGTTGAAACTAGAGTAGTCTAAACATGAACAGCAAGGGCTTGGCTGCACAATTCATCCACGAACCCTGAACATTTAACAGCAGGGACTTGGCCGCACAATACATCCACAGCAAAAAGGACCCACCTGAACATTCCGATTTCCCAAACAACAACAAAAACAGACTCACCTGAACATTCCGATTTCCCCAAAAAGGCACCATGGTGGTTCTGAAGCCTCGTTTTTTTTTTTTTCTTCTCCAGGTGAAGCAGTTTGAGGAGAGGCGCGGCTCCCAGGAGGAGAAGCTTTCCTCGCCTGGAGCCCAGGGTGGTGAAGGTCGTGTGACAAGGCCGTCGGTCAAAACCAATGATACCATTTTGGGGTTTTCGGTGCACCACCCATTTTAGAACCTATTTTAGTGGGGATTGGGATGTTCACTGGGGGTGCTGAATTTCCGCAGATCCCACCCAACCCGCCAAACGAAACGCCCTTACACACCCTGAAAGGGCTTCAGGGTATATTTTTTTTTTTTGGGGGGGGGAAGTATGGCAAGTTGTAGCGGCCAAGCATCAAAAACAAACAGCTCCGAATGATCGTAGATTGTGCCAGGCTCTGGTTTGCAATCAGCCCCTGGACACTGGCGCCACAGCTTGTTTTTAAGATTTGGATGGACCAAAACTGGAAGTGGGGGGGCGGGGGGGGGTGGTACAGGACACCCAAGCACTTTTCTGGAACCTCCAATTCCTTGGGGTTTTGGTGTTTGACAGATGAAACGCCTCGCAACTATTTTTTCAGTTTTCTCCAGGCGGCGTGAGGTTCGGTTCGGTTCAAAACGGCCCAGTCCGCGAGTCCGAGCGCGCGCCCGCGCGGTTCCGCGCGCTTCAGACTCTTGGTCCAGCTGAAAGATGAGCAGAAGGCGGGCTCGAGCGGCGCTGAAGCGGCAAGCCTTGATCTTGGAAGCAGAAGCTTCCCCTGTTCATCTGAAGAAGCCTCGCTAGGGGGATCTGTTTGTTTCTTTCTCATTCGCACTCTATGGGTTGATTCCTAGATCTCCACGCTCCGGCTGCACTAACAACCCCTTTCCCGTGCTTCTGGTAGATTCTGGAAAGAAGGATCCCTGAGCCACCGGATCGACTCGTTTCCCCCCCAATCTCATGAAATCTGGGAGTTAGTTGTTCTTCCCGGGCCTCCAACTTTTCCTTTTGCCTTGTTCGCACTCTTTTTTTGGAAACCAACAGGGGCCATTTGTCGAAAGGCAAGCATGTCCGCTCCCTTGGTGGTGCTTGGTTGCTTTGGAGGGAAACGAAAGGGAAACTGGGCCCCAATTTCAGGGCTCTCCTGTTTGGAGAGACCATTCTTAATTTTGTTTGCTGGTTTGGAGATGAACGGGTGTCTTTCCATTTGGCTCAAACATGAACCCATTTCCATGATGCTTTATAGCGACCCCCCACCCACTCCATGAGCAAACTTTGCTCCAATTCAAGGGGAATTTCAACAGATTCTAGGAGGACAAACCATCGTTGTGCCATGTACCTCAGAGTAACCATTTGTGCGCCAACAACTCTTCTAGGGCAGAGCTGGACCCCTTCACAGGATTTGTGTGACAAGCACCAGAGGTCTTACAGGAAACATGACCATGGCCCACAATTTGGGTTGTTTTGACCGAAGCACATATGTCTAACCGAAGAACATCACCTCAAATTAGTTGGAGTACAACCACCAGCTTGTAAAAGGAATGTCATTTCGCGGGCGCATTTGATAGGAGGGCGAGGAGTTGCGGCAAGAGCTCCGGCAGGCCGGGAATCGAATCGAAGGTTCTGAAGCTGGGAACCCCGGTATAGCCCAGCGCTTTCTCACACTGACCATGCATGAGTTGAGCCCGGTGTTGTATTAAATCACCCCCCGAGAAGAAAGAAAAAGAAAGAAGAACAAAGAACAAGATGCCCCCCCCCCCGGACAAAAACCAGATGTCGTCACTTTACGAGATATTCCATATTTTTTTCTCTTCTCCAGTTGCTCCTCCGCGAGGCGCGGAGTAGCGGCGAGCTGCTCCAGCAGACGGCCCAGGATGGGGCGGATTGGGCGGAAACCTCTACAGGACACACCCTTGCAAGGAAACAAACGCGGCTTCTTGTGGGGATGGAGCTCCTGATTTGGGTGTCCTTTTTGGTTGGTTGAAAAATAGAGGGTGATTCCCGGTTTACCTGGTGGTTCAATCATCTGCCAGGGCCACCTATGTACGAAAAAAAGGACACCTATGTGGACACACCCTTGCAGCAACGAACGCGGCAAGCTTCTTGTGGAGATGGTGTCTTGAGTTGAAATGTTTGATTTCAGTCGTGAACACATGATCCGGATTGGCACGGAACCAAACAAGGCCATCATTTTTAGAGGCATCTCTTGCTGGGGTACTTTGTTGTTGTTGCAGGGGGAGTAAGTAACCAAGCGCACCACCTGCTAGAGACATGGCAGGGTTCGGGACCTTTCTTCTAGGCATCCCTGGTGGGAAAATTCAGCACCAGGATAACGAGAGGGCTAGGCCCCAATCAAGGGGACCCTTACATTCCCTTGGGTGGGGGAAGGTGGGCCTGTTTGCAGGTTCCCCAGTGTGGGGTGTCGCACGTAAGGCTTTCAGAAGGGTTGGGAAACCCCTTTGGGGGAGTTCTCCAAGAAAGCTTCAACAATTTTCGGGACCCAAGCACCAAGCCAGAGCTCAGGTGTCCATTGAGCACCCCCTTGAAAAGGGTACCCCTAAAATGGAAGACGCCCATGTGCAGCTGTTCCCGATTCATCCTCTCTAGGAGACGTTGGAGAAATTCCGGCTTCTGCAGCAGGAGAATGAGGCAGCTGGAAGTTGTTGGTGGGGCCATACACGCGATTATTGTTGTGAAAGGTGTTTCTTTTGAAGTGGTTTCCCCAAAAGGACTAAGATTAATAGCAATCCTGCAACTAGGAGGTATTTGGATTGCCCGCTACATTAAGTCAAAGAAACTATCCCTCCCAATTAGGATTGGCCATCCATTTGAACAGCCCAGTAAAAAATGAGAAAGCCGGAGCGTGAGCAGCCGGATGCGCGTCCTTTACTTTAACAATTTTATGGTGGAATGATTCATTGCTATTGGGTAACGTATCTGAAATGAACAATGAACATGAATTACTTATTGGCAATGGCAATGAATGGTTATCAATAGTTATCAATACATCAAGGTATTATTGCACCGGATGAAGATGTTGATACTTCATTTGCCAAAACCAGGCTGATAATGATGCTGCAGAATCCATGGAAACGATGATACAACGTGCCTTATCAGCCGGTCTTCCAGTAGAGAACGAAGAATAACTTAGACAAATCGTGTGCAAGTACGATATCTGGCGAACTAAACTAGATGCAGATCCACGTTTTTGTTGAATAATTATTTTGGGTTTTCGATTGAACCCACAAACGTTTGTTCACTTTTTGCAGAAGGGTCGACAGCAACCAAGTGTAGAACTTGCAATTTGTGCGATTAACGGCAGATTTCCGAGCAAGCGCAGCACATCAATTCCTCAATGCACTCACGCATTGCAAACTGGGCCGACCAAAACAATGCTAATGATCCCAAGAGCAAGCAACATATACAACAGGGCAGACAGGCTCATGAAGGCGCAGGCATTCCCCGAAGGCATTGCCACTCGATTTCGGATGGCATATCGCCCGTTTTCGCTGCACGAAAAGCTGGGCACATTAACACATTGTCGCGTGCATCCATGCATTGAGCCATTCATGCATTCACGCATCCACATATGCGTATGCCTGCATCCAGCAGAATCACGGGTGGCCGCACTTGCATGCATTCATGCATCCATGCATCCATGTATCCGCAGAGCCGTGCCACCAGCCAGCCAGCCAGCCAGCCAGCCAGCCAGCCAGCCAGTTAGCCAGCTGTCTACCCCATCCGTGAAGTTTGTGAGAAGGACAGCGAGTCAAAATCTGCTTGTGCGCAGCGCGTGCCCAAAAAGCGCTGGTCCAGGAACTGAGGAGGCAGTCTTCTGAGAGTCAACAGAAGCGGCGAATGAGCATGCCCATGGCTCAGCAGCCTTTTCCATGTGCGAACTCTCCTGGCTCCTTCATGGTGCTTTTTCTCAGTTCCCAGTGACCCTGGTAGAGAAAAGGAACCCTTTTTGGGTTGACCTTTTGGGACTTGTCTGGGTTCCTTCGATTCGATCGTCCTTCGACCGCTTCGACGTCGCATCATCTTTTTTGCCTTGCGAGGCACCGCATGTCACTTTGGGCGCCGGAGACTTAGTGATGGGGACCCTCAATCTGTCCAGAAATCTGGGGATTTCTCAAAAAGGTGGACCTTTCGCGTGGATGGTTTTAAGGGGAGCCACAAGACAGCAGACTATGTTACCTGCCTCCTGTTTTGAGAAATCTAAATGGATCTTTTCGCCGATATGAGGCTAGAGAGTAATGCTGCTTAATGTTGGGACATCCACGGGAACTGAGAGGCAATGGAAATCCAGGATTACCTTCTGGTTGATTCAAGGGGGCTGGCCCATGATGGAGGGGATCCGGATCACTTCTGGGGAACCACTCCCACGAATTTGCCAGGTCGATTCTGTGACATTCCGCTCCAAGGTTCTCAAGACTTTCCAGCGCTGGGGTCTCCTGAAAGTCTATGTCATGGAGGGTAGACCAAAGATCAGAAGGGGGAATCTGAACATATGGCCATGGTTCAAAACCAATGATACCATTTTGGGATAGGTGCACCACCCATTTTAGTCGATTTAGTGGGGATTGGGATGTTCACTGGGGGTACTATTTGCGTTTTGACCCATGGCCATATAACTTTTGGTCCCCAAGGTAGGTAGGTCGGAAGAGTCCCTGGGGCAGCGTGAGTCTGGAGCTCGCAAGTGAGCCAAGGCCACCCGTCCTCAACATTGAGGCATCCTACCGGTGTCGAGGGGTGTTCGCACGTGCTCCTTTGTACATACCCCATAGAAAAATGACGCCCAAAAGGCATCTCTTGTTACCCAGCAACCCAAAACAGGGCATACACCCAATTTTTGGTAGGTTGGTAACGCGGGAATGAAGCGGGATGAAGAACTTCCACGCTCAGATGGGGCAGGATGGGGCCACGCAACATGTGCAGGATGAGGTGGAGCTGCTGCCAAACTCCAAAGACGAGTTTGTGTTGCAGGCCGGGCGGCGATTTGCGCCGCACCCTGCCCCACGGGCATGGACAGGGTGTTTTCAAAGACCACGACGAGGGTTCTTAGAGGGACCCGTCCAGGTTTGGGGAGCTTTGGTGTGCAACGATTGAGAGGATGGCCATCAAGGAATCTCCTTGACCTTCAGTTGCTTTCAGGTGCCCATCGTTCACCCGTTTCGGAGGTTCGCGAGGCTCACAAGCGCGTGGACGCCCTCATGCAAAGCGCCGCGGAGGCGACCTTCGTCCAGCTTTGGGTGGTTCCTCCTTGAGGGGCGCTCGTTTTAGTACCTTGGGGACCAGATTTCCTTAGCGCATGGTTGAAAACTGGATCTTTAACCAACATCTTTGGTTTCCCAGGTTTCTCAGTGGCTCCACACGTATCATTTTTGGGGCTGTAGGTTTCCTCCCGAAAATGCCACAGGGGTCATTTCAAGTGCTCAAAACGGCTTTTGGGCCGATGGTTCCGGTAACGTCGAGGATGTCACTCGGGCCAGAAGAAATCTTGAAATTGAAGAGCTTCTAGCCATGTCCTCATGTCAAACTGTCCCCCAAGAATTCACTCCATACCCAATTGGCAGACAGGTTGTCCCTGTGTTGGAGAATTGTCAGATCCTCAACGAGAGCCTGTTTTCAGCAATTGGCTTCTTTTGAGAAATATCCGAGATGTCGGCAGGCAGGTTTGATTGAAGAGGTGCGAGATTTGGGAGAGGCTCAAATTTTAAACAACTGGGGCAAACCGCAAGTTTTCGCCTTTGGTTCCATGTGCCGGGGGGTGCCAAAGTTTGGGGGAGTCCATTTTTTCCGACCCGCCATTTCTTCGTCAGGTCCACAACCGGACGATCACTGCCCAGTTGGATGGCGCGGCCGTGGCCGAGAGCAAGGCCTTGCCCGCGCCGGCGGCCAGCGCGCTCTCCGCTGCACGGTTTCGCTCGCACCAGGGCTCCGGGGTCAGACGTGGGTTGTCGGACTACGAGAATCAGTATGAGATCGAGTCAGAGTGGCGGCCTGAGATGTGGAGAATCGGAGAAAAAACCCGGAGGATGTCCCCACCTTTTTCCTCTTTTTTTGTGCGGTTCAAGGCTTTTGGGTTCCATTTTTTGGGTTCCTGGGAACCTGGGAACCTGATTCGTCCAGTTCTCCAGGCGGCGTACTGAGCTCAGCGACCTGGAAGCAGGGCTGCACGATCTCCGCGCGCTGAAGGAGGAGGCCTCCGCTGTGAAGCGTGCGCAGAGGTGATCAAATTTCGGTGGGGATGTATTGCCCCCCCCCCCCCCGGGAAAAAAATAGCTAGATAAAGAAATCAATGTATGTATGTTTACTTGTACATATTAAACAACTCCTGGGTTCGTGACGGCTACGGACAGTCGCCGATTTCCGCCGTTCTGATTCTTCATGGGTAATAAGTGGGTAGACCATCTTAATACCAGGTTTGATTACTCAGGTGAGGTGCAGGCATCTGGATGATATCCAGAAAAGCCTTCTTTGGCATGCTTGAAGCCCGCGCCTTCGGGTCTTAACATGGGATACCCTCAGCACAGGGCAGATACCCAGCAAATGGTAAGAAGCAGGGATTCTCGCAGAAGATCTGCGTGGAACAGTTTTTTTTGGATGAACCGACATGTACTACTATATCAAAACTTCTTCTTCCCAAACCTTCAATCCTTCGGCGGCCCGGCAGGGAGGTTCTGGAACGGTTGGAGCATCCTGTTTGAACATCACTTCATGACGGAGAATTGCATTCGGCACACATACAAGAGTGTCTTCAAATAGGGGGGACCCCCTAAAAGGTGTTTGTCCCATAAGTTACCCTTTAGAGCGAACCCCGAAAGGGTACCATCCAAACGTAGCCGCGGCGGTTAGTTCTCTGATTTAGGTGGCGCTTCAGCATCACCTCACCGACGAAGTGCAAACCCAAGCTTCGGCCTCAGAGTCAATGCATTTGGCAAGTGGTCATTGCCTGAGCTGTTAAAATGGATTGCAGTAGGGCCCACACCTTCATGCACAGTGGGGCTGTGACATTTTGGTTTGGCCCCTTTCAGGAGTCCCCTTTTGTAGTCGATGGGCACTGGTCGCTAGTTGTTGGAGCCAAAGGGTGAAGCGGGGGAAATCTGCAAGTGCCTCACAGATTGTTGACTACCTGGAGCGGGATGCGCAGCGGTGCCAAGAGGAGAGCTGAAGGGGAGATCAGGGGAGTTGGCTTGGGCCCTGCCACATTGCCTCCAATGTGAGGTAGAGTTTGGGATGCTCACCAACCGCAAGGGTGAAAATTGGTTTGGCTTCCTCTAGATTCCCTCACGTCTTGAATGGATCACCCTTGTATTTCTACTACCTTGTTGACCTTGAGAGGGGTGCTTTTTTATGCCAGGGGTGCATACACTTCCTTGCAGATGAACACATCCCGAACAGGCTGTTCGCACGAAAGGAGATCCCTCTACATGTTTTGCGAGTTCCACATTCATCTGCAGACCCCTTTCAGCCATCCAGTCTTGAATGACACCATCCAAAAGCCATGACGTTTCTTTTGGACAGCAGGATGACCTCAAAGGGGCGGGTCCTTGAGCCTGCCAGCTACAGGAGATTGACATCATGAAGCCATCCTCGGCGCTGGCAAGCCTTCCTGATGAACTGATTCAGGCTGTGGGGCTAATCTCGGCTATCACGTTTGTCCAGGCGGATTTGGTCGGAACGGTGATGTTGTTGATGGTGCTTTTGCTGCTGCTGATGATGCTGATGCCGATGATGCTGATAATGCTGATGATGTTGATCATGGCTGATGATGCTGATCATGATGACGATGGTCATGATGATCATGATGATGATGATGATGATGATGATGATGAAGATGATGATGATGAAGATGATGATGAACATGATGATGGCGAATGTCGAAGGCAACGGTGACGCCGACAGCGATGGCGATGACGATGACGATGATGATGATGATGATGGTGGTGGTGGTGATGATGATGATCCCGGCAGCGGTGGTGATGGTGGTGGCGATGCTGTTCGCGCTAGCTTGGCCAGCAGCTTTTGGTGCTCAGACTGAAACGAGCAGTACTTCTGAGCGAAGCTTTTCGCATTGCTGCGTTTAGCTATCACCAGTGCTAAGCATTGTATAGCTCTACATTTGCGCAGATGACTAGGCAATGTCTGTGGATCAGGAGTGGGCAATGAAGAGTGATATTCGCATTTTACGCTGCCTCCTAGGTAGCGTTGCTAAGTCGTGTCTTGCACATATGCTCCATGATGTTCTGTCAAGGGATTACTTGTCCCCATTTCGTGTGTGCGCAAAAAGGCTCGAATTGGCCAGGTGCTGATGCACATGATCGACGAGGGCTTGCCGTCAGAGTCAGGGTCCCGGAGTTTGTCAGAGTCCCACAGTTTGGTTTGTTGGACCAAGGTTCGAGCACGGCTTCTCCCCCATGCACTGGGCAGCTCAGAGGGGTCGGCGTGACCTCATTGACTACATTCGACAGAATGTTGCAACTCGGCCCTTGAGTCAATCAAAGACGTAGTTCACCTCCCTTTCCCCACCAGCACTTGGAGATGTGTTTGTTTCCCATCATCCCGGATCTTGTCCAAATTGCAATCTGAAAAAGTTGGGTCGGATGCAGAAAGGGATGGTCGTCTGTGGGGCAGACCTGAGGCTGGCGGCTTCGAGCTGCTCAGATCCAGGGACTCTCAGGGTGCGGGCTCCTGGCTGACGTAGCCCCTCGGGCGGGTTTCTTGGTTCCTCGGCAGGCGGGTTTCCTGGTTTCATTTTTGCTCCACCAAACAGCCAAACAATGGAGGGGGGGGGGGGCGGGGGGCGGATTGCCCTTTCTTTCGCAAGTTCCAGTTGCTTCTGTGCGGAGGCCGCATCCCGCTCTTCTTTGCGGAGCGTGCAGGGAAAGTTGGCCTGGCCTACCATCTGCGGAAGATAGGAGGCCAAGCTGACATCGGACTGGGACTCTATGGCCCCATGGGCCATAGAGGGAAGCTTAAGCATACCAAGCGTCAATGGCTTTGGCGCTCACCTGAACCTCGAAAGTCGGACTTACCAAAGGATATGACGCTACTAGCTCAAGGCTTCCTGAAACCATCACCCTTGTGTCGAGCTTCGTATGAGGGGGAATGAAGTATTATGTATACACAGGTAATATATGTACGCATGTGTACATACATATACATGTACGTGTACATGTACATGTACATGTACATATACATATCCATATAGTGCCATATAGTATGTGTACGTTTGTGTGTATATATACATTATATACCCACATATGAGTATATATGTATATATATATATATACACACGCCATATATGTACGTATGTGTGTATACATATACATATACAACACATATGTATATATATATATATAACATATATATATATATATATCATATATGTCCGACTTTCAGGTCCACTTTGATTGATGGAGGGGGTGGTAGTCGTTGACTGCGGTTTGAAAGTTTGCAAGCTGTCCCGTAATCCAGCAGTGCTAGATGCTGATGCTTTTTTGGGACAGATGTGAAGCCACAGTCCAAAGAAAGGTTCGGCAACAAAGATTGCACTATGCGACAGATGCAGAGATTATGCCCGAATTGGTGCATGGCAAAGGGCAACTATGCAACAAATATGAACTTAGGCTTCTGCCGCAAGGTCTTTTGACAAGTCGACTCGTAACAGTAGCATCCTAGGACGCTGCACTTTTTGACTTGTGTGGCAACATCCATTATTGCAGTACCTCAGAAAAGACGAAGCATGCAAGCAGTTGGGTGTTTTCCATCCACTGCTGTCTCGACCGCTCTGGCCGAACTTTTATGTCACATTTTTGCAATTTGAGTGGATCCGCAGTCAGCACTGGCAGATTTTGGGGCTAGACCGCTTTCCATGAACCGCCCCTCCCTTTCCTCCGCGAGTTTTGCAGTTGCCGCGTGGATGTTTGCGCGAGGCAGTGATGAGGTTCTGGTCAGGCGAGTTGCTGGCTGCCGGTCCGGTCGCTTTTTGGCAGAGGGAGGGATGAGTTCTCACTTGCTTGATACCAAGGAACCCCCTCTTCAGCCAGAACAAATGTAATTTAGAAGATTTTCCTTCCATTGGAATCACAGAATTTGTAGCCCTTGAAGCTCAACTTGCATCACAAACAACCATCTCGGCATGTCTTTGATCACCATTCACCTGCAAAACTGATAGGGGGCCATCGAAAACTGATCTTCTGCTACTTCTGTCTGCTGCTATGAGTTAGTCTCATGGCACATCTCCAAACTGGGCCCAATGTCTTGCATCCCTTCTGCCCTTCTGACGGAGCATACCTTTGAGGGGGTTGGGTCCCAAAACCCCAGAGCTGGGCAGGCCCTGGGATTTTCAGGTCCGAGAAGCGGCCGGACGTGGAGGACATCGCGCCGGCCTACCGGAAGGTGCTTTGGCCATGTGGGCGGCGATGTGGGCGGAATAAGACGCACCCAAACGAAGAAGCCCAAGGACTTTCGATTCCACGTAAATACGAAGAAACAATGGCTTCGAAGATGGTTTCCAGGTGCGAAATGGATTTCGTCTGTCCACAGTATGGGGGAGCCACGATTCAAATTTGACGCCATCACCAACATCACGAGCCGCTTGGAATGCTCGGACGTGAATTGCAAGCCGCCGCAGGCGGCCGGAGCTTCAAACCGAGGGACCCTCCGCGTTTCTCTTCAAAGTTGGCAGTTTCATTGGAGCCCTCCGATGGATCAACTTGGGGAACACATTTTCGTGACTCTGGACCCTTAAGCTCCCTTGAACCCCCCCCCCGCAGAAATTGATCCATCTGGAGCTTTGGGCGGCCTCGGTGCTCGCCATGCCGCATGGATGTGGAGTTCAGGGATCCCAGGCATGCGACGAGGACTTTGAGCAGCTTGGCCTGCTCGCGGAAATGGCGCGCTGCTGTGGACATGGCTCAGGAGTGACGGGCGAAATGGGTGACCCGGAAACCCGGACCCCTTTGAGGGGACGCCAAAAGGAGGTTTAACCAGGAGGTTTGAATCATGGAAAGGATGTTTGAGCAGCT